TTCATGACCTTGTTAGCCTGGAGATAGTTTTCTACTTAGGAGACATATGAGCAATCATCAAGAAGATTTTTTTTTTTATCTAATATAATAATTTGATACAATTTGCTTGGATCTCATCTTCTGCAATAGCTTAAACTCAATTTATGGCCTAAAAGTTAAAGAACCTTTTTCCAACAGTGATCACAGTATGATTGATTTTTGTCTCAATTTATGTCCTTGCAAAGAGGATCTTAATGATGTGACTCCAAATTATAATTTTAAAATAGACAACTATGATCTCATAGCTGCCGACCTCACATCTCTTGATTGGCACCATTTGTTCACAGGTTGTAATACTGCAGAAAACCATTATAACACTTTTGTGCTCAAAGTCAATAGAGTCATTAACCTATACGTTCCAAAAATAATCCTTAAAGCCAAAAAACAAAAACAAATTACCCATAACAATAAGAAAATTACAATCCAAAAAAAAAATCTCTTTGGCGAGAAAACAAAATTGGCTATGTATGATAGCTAACTTTAAAAGCCTTATGCCACCAGATAAATGCTGAATGCACCAATTACCATTGCAAACAGGAGGAAGAATTGTTAAACTTGAAATCCACCTGAGCCTTCTATAATTTCGTAAATGCCAAACTTAAACCCTCAAAATCTACCCCACCCTTAAAAGGACCTAATGGGAAAGACTGTAACAATGAAGCTGTTAAGGCCAACCTATTCAATATGTTCTTCAGCTCAGTCTTTGTTGACAACAATGGCTGCTGCCCTTCACTTCCTAGTCATATCATAACAAATTGTAACAATTTACTACATATTGATTTTATAGTAGGAATGTTGAAATGGCACTACGTAACCTAAAGCCATCTTAATCTATTGGCCCTGATGGATTATGTGCCTACTTCTTGAAAAAGCTTGTCACTACCCTAGCCGGACCTCTATGTACAATCTATGAGGTATCTTTCTGAAACAGCTCCTTTCCCAACTTATGGTCATTAGCCACAGTCAAACCTATTTTTAAAAAGGGAGACCCTAGTCTAGTAGAAAATTACAGACCAATCTCACTGTATTGCATCACCTGTAAAGTCATGGAATAAATTATTAACCAATCCATCACCCTCCACTTAAAAACAAACAACCTACTTTCTAACAAGCAGTTTGGTTTCAGAATTTTTTTTTCCTGTAATCTGCAACTCCTACACTGCAGAAACATTTGGACCACATATCTTGATCAGGGTAAAGCAATAGATGCAATTTACATAGACTTCTACAAAGCCTTTGATTCAGTGGTGCATGACAAATTATTTTTGAAAGTAAATTCTTATGGCATCTCTGGATCCCTGCACCCAGTGGATAGCCATGTTCCTGTCAAACAGGCAATAAATAGTCAAAATAGGGAGGGCTCTATCAAATTGGGCACCAGTTAACAGCGGTGTCCCCCAAGGCAGCGATTTAGGACCCACACTCTTTCTGCTTTACATCAATGACCTATGTGATCATATTAAAAGCAGCTACATCCTCTTTGCCAATGACTTAAATTTTTTAACACCACTGACAATGCTACTGCCCTACAAAGCGACCTTGACTATGTGTCAGAATGGTCGTGTAATTGGCAACTTCAAATTTCAACTAATAAATGCTCTGCCCTACACATTGGCAATAAAAATCAGAACACCAAATACAAGTTGGGAGGATATGATCTCATAGACAACCCTCACTCTGTCAAGGACCTAGGAGTACTCATCTCAAACAATCTAAGCCCCAGAGCTCACTGTAACAGCATTGCAAAAAAGGCATTAAAAGTTGTTAACCTTGTTTTGCAAAGCTTCTTCTCTGGTAATATTGAATTGTTAACTAGGGCATACAAAACCTTTGCCAGACCAATTCTCGAATACAGCTCGTCCGCCTGGAACTTGCACTGTATATCAGACATTAACACAATTGAGCGGGTTCAGAGATATTTCTTGGGAAAAGTATTCCACTCCTCCATTCACAATATGCCTTGAAATTCTGGGCCTGGACAATCTGGAACTGTGCCTGATCTAAGCATAGTTCACAAAATAGTCTGCTATAACAACTTGCCTGTCAACAACTTCTTCAGCTTCAATCACAATAATACATGGGCAACAACCAATACAAACTCAAGGTAAACTGTTTCAAACTTGATTGCAGAAAATACGACTTCAGCAACAGAACAGTCAATGCCTGGAACGCCGTACCAGACTCCGTTGTTACAGCCTCAACCCCTCACAGCTTCAACTTCAAACTGCCTACCATGGACCTCACCCCATTCCTAAGAGGTCCTTAAAGGGGGCGTGCATAAGCACACCAGCATGCCTACCATCCCTATTATACTGTCTCCATTTATCTGTATTTACTTCCTTTGTTAAACAAACAAATAAATAAATAATAAATACAGGTAGTCCTTATCTACCAACCACTCACTCAGTGACCATTCAAAGTTGGGACACTACTGAAGGACTGGTACTTTTAACTAGTCCTCAAGTTCTGGCAATTGCAGGACCCTTGCAATGATCTGGGTGATTGGCAATTGGTTTCACTGATACTATTTACAATCTTCCCAGCCAGATTCCCACAAACAAAGGCAATGGGGAAGCCAGCAGGGAAGATCACATGTAGCTTTGATAAATCCCTCTGGACTTCTTGCACGCATGCTGCACCATCCTTCCCTTGGGCTCCCTGCATGTGCAGCCTCCACCGGGTCTCAAGCACTCCCCCAGCCTCCCCCACCTCATCCCTGGCCTATGCGGGTCCCCCCAGAACCTCCCTGCAATATCCCTCATTCTCACAAAACATCTTCATGACACTCCCTATCTGAGAGTATATTATTTAGAAATGGCAATCCCGTGTCTTAACCTGAGGACTATTTATATAAGACAATAGAGAGAAAATCAAGTTGCAGAGTTGGAGGTATTAAGTTGCAAGGACCATATCAGAATTGTTGGAGGAAAGATCCTTCCACCCATAAATATATAAAGTTCCACCAGGCTTCACAGCCACCTAGTTACTGTACTTCATGGGCCAGTACATGAGCACAGTTTGGACAGGCATTGGGAACACCACCAGAGACTAAAATGCCAGTTGCTCATAAATAGAGAAGCTGCCCAAGACTAAAGGTCTAGACCAGGGGTGTCAAACTCAAGGCCCAGGGGCCAAATCTGACCTGTGGACCCAGCCTGGAAACAGCAAAGGACCAGCCTGCATTGCCTCTGCCAGTGAAAAGAGCTCAGGGGAGCTGTGCGTGGCCACCCTGGGCTCCATTTTCACTGGCAGAGGGCTATTAAAACAAACTAAAAACAAAACAAAAGGAGAAATGTTTCCCTTTTTGCATTTGAGCATGGAAGAAGGGACAGGAAAGATAAGGAAAGAGGGGAAAGAAGAAGGAGAATGAAGAGGGAAGAGAAAAGGAAGGAAGGAAGGAAGGAAGGAAGGAAGGAAGGAAGGAAGGAAGATTATAATGAGAATGAGGGAAGGTCTCAGGGAAGTCCTGCCTTAGCACTTGGCCACAACAGGTACCCCCAACAAAGTGTCATGTCATGCCCACCATGGCCACATCCACCATGGCCACACCCATGCCCGGCCATGCCAACCCCCGGCCCTCCAAGGTCAAACCCTGATGCAGCCCTCAATAAAATTGAGTTTGACACCACTGTTCTAGACAGACCAATTTGAGCACAGCCTGGATTGACTACAAGAAAGCTTACGACTCAATGATCTGTGAATGCTTAGAAGAATAAATGAGCTGGCCAAAGAACATAGAAGCCACTGAAGCCCTTCATTATGTATGGAGATTTTCATCTCAAGGCCAACACCCAGAGACTATACACTACTTCGAAAGAGGGTGGTTGGGGTGTAGTGAGTGTCAAAGCTATTGTCCTGGATGAAACTCAGACCGCCCAGGAATACATCATTAAGATGGCACCCAAAACAAGCTGCTGAGAGAATGTTTGAGGCAAAAACAGACCTGGGAGGAAAATCAAGCAGAGAAAGTGCTATGACAAGACAAGACCCTGCATGGAATATACCATCGACAGATAGCTGAGGTGGCAGATATTGGAAATCCTACCAGTGGGAAGGGCTGGACTAAAAGGCTGGACTAAAAGAGCACTGAGGCACTGGTCATAGCAACACAAGTATAGCCACTAAGCACCAGATTCATAGAAGTATGAGTCTACCATACTAGACAAGATCCAAGCTGAAGACTATCCAGAGGGGTATCAGAGACAGTCCAATACATAGTGGCAGGGTGTAAGATACAGGCAGGAACAGCATACATTGAATGGTCCAACCAAGTAGCTGGCATTACATACAGAAACATCAGCACACAGAATATGGGCTAGCCCCTCCTAAGTCCAGATGGGAGATCCCACAGAAGATCATGGAGACCAAGAAAGCTAAGATACTGTGGGACTTCCAGACCCACACAGAAAAGCAGGTACTAGTCAATCAACCAGATATGATAGTAGACAAGGATCAAAAGTCAGCAGTCGTGATAGATACAGCAGTGCCAAGTGACAGCAACATCAGGAAGAAACAATGTGAGAAGCTAGAGAAGTACCAGGGCCTGAAGGAGGAACTGAAGCAGATGTAGAAAGTAAAGACCAAAGTGATAGCCGCATTTTGGGGCTGTGGCTCCTAAGATGGAAGATCCCAGGAACCACAGGCCTTTCATGGAGAATTCATATAGGAAGACAAAGACCACCTATAAAGGTGAAAAGGGAATTTATAGAAATAGAGGTAGAGACAGAGATAGAGATAAAAATGGAAACTGTTATTTACTTGCACATGCACAATCTAGGAAAACAATTGGAAAACAATCTAAATTCCTTTCTCTTTACTAATATAGAAATGCTGAAAATGAAACATTCTTTTCTGTCTTCTATGGAAGAATAGATTCCCTCACTCCCTTCAAAAGAAAATGAACTTCACTCACTCCCCAGGCTAGCCATATACCTATTTTATGCAAACAGCTACCAATGTATCAGTGAAAACAGAATAAGTGGTTTGGCTTAAGGAATAGGCAGAAGCCCCAATTAGTGGGGTTTGGTTGGGAATGTCAGGAGTTCTTATCCAGTGCATTAGCAGACCCAAGCTGGAAAAGATCGCAATGAAATCTTTCCCAACAATTTTCCTCTGTTACAGCAACAGAACAGTTTGAAGATTTTTGTAAAGAGATAATTATTAGGCTGTACCAACTATGCAGCAGCAACTATATAGTTAACATTATCCTCTTGGGATGTTCCTACATCAAAGCCTACTCAGTGAGCCAGGTCAGCCTATTCAAAGATAGTCCAGGGTTCTTCCTCGTGACTGCATTCATTCCTCCAGGACCTGAGTTGGCAGAAAAATTTGTCAGCATAATTTGGTCTGCTCTGATGGGCATGCGCTAATCTGCCTCAGCAATGCAGCTTGTGGACGGTCCTATCTATACAGTTTTGCTGAGGGACAATTTAAGGGCAATAACTGATAGATTCTCCTGGCTTTATTTCTCCATCAGACTAGTGTCATCAGCAAGTGTATGTGTGAGGATTGTTCTTCTTAAAGCATGTAACTTTAAAATCATAAGTCATGGGAATGCTCCATCTCAGGCCTGTCAAACTAGTGGCTGATCAGATATGTCACATGCAGGCCACACCCACCCTGGTTCCACCCCCAAAAAATCACAATACGTCATGATCCAGCCTGATACAATCAAGCTTTGCACCCATGCTCCATATCATTAACCCGTTTTTAAAAAATATGGATATGAATATTCCACTAGTTTTTGACATATTGATGGAGCAAATAATAATATAAGCTAGGATGAAGCAGGAGAAAGCTGACAGGACACATTTTGAGAGCTACCTCTCATTTCATTCTAGCCAGTCTTCTACCCTATCACCCTCTCAGTTGGGCTATCTTTGGATAATTTTGGGCCTTCTTGGGCTAGCAGGAGAACTGGCAAAATTCTTTGACATTTTCAACCCAGATCCCAAATATACCAGATTGGTAAGCCCCGCAGGGAAGTAATGGTGCTGATAATGAATGGCCAGTCAGCAGCACCTAGAAAGAGCCCATATAATGTTTAAAATGATGTTCTGCTTTCCAAAGTAATAAAGACAATGCAAAACACAGACACGTAAAATTCTTTGTTGAAAGAACAACTTATTTCAGACAAAACCAATAGGGCTCTCTCTCTCTCTCCAGCTTAAATTCAATGAAAAGTCCTTTCTTAAACATTTATTTTTTGATAGAAGGTCCTAAGGTAGAAGTGCAGGTCAAATATTATGGGGCAGAATCCGGATGTTGTTTTTTTCTGCCAAGTTGAAATGGACACAGAAGTTGGACCTCAGTGACCAGAGAACAGGTTCCTCTCCCCAGTAGCTTCAGTTGACCAGTAGGTACTACCAAATATGAGCTCCTGGCCATCAGTACGAATTATATGCACTGTAGTAGGTGTTCATACATCAAGGCTTGTGTCAGGGGAAAATAGAAAAGTCTGATTTAAATGGAAACAACTGTAGACAAATTAAGGTTGCCTCCATAATGGACTGGGGATAAAAAGTTGTCTCACTGAGGATCTGTCCTCTAAAAATAGTGGGATGCCTTTGTACTATGGTTAACAGTGATGAAAAGCGTTCAGTCTGGAAGTCAGACTGGTCATATTGAGACACACAACACATTCGTGAAATAACAGTTTAATTGGAATTTCTTTATTCATTCAATTTATATCCTAATTACAAAAATGAACGGAAAGCTATAGCTTTCAACTCCATTCTCAATGCCACTATATTCTCGTATTTTAAAATCGTCTCCAGTGACAGTTGACTTTCGCTAGTAACTTGAAGGAACTGCATTAACACAAACTAGCTTCATCACATTAGTCTGCTTGATCAAAAGTTGGATGCTATTAGCTTTTATTCGTTGTACTGCTTTTAGGTACGGTAATCCACTTCTATTACCAAATCTGTGCGTTCGCATTCTGTTAATGCCAGAATTTCTCCCGGACTTCGATATGGAATTGCTTGCAATTCCAGTGCTTAATGTCCCAATAGCAGCTACTAATTCACCCCTTTCCTTTCTGTGCTGCCGACCAGCTTGGCTGACTGACAGTTGTCAGTTTTATCCTCTATCTAGTTCGCCCTAAACTACAATTCCCACGATGCTTTGCGACGTTACGCTTTAGTTTCCGGTGGCGCGTGGCTTCCGGCTCGGATCGGAACCTGGAGTCCGGACTCGATCCGGGTGTCAACATTCCAAAAACAGGTAATGCCAAGCCCTTGCCTCGATCCGCGTGTCTCTCTTACTGCCGGGACCTGCTCCTTGTCCTGTGCGCGGGACCCAGTGCCGGTGAGCCCTTTTCCACCCGGGGAGTTTCCCAGGGCGACGCGGCGGGGTCCCTTCTCCGCCCGGGCTGCCGCCTCCTCCTCCCTCCCCTCCGTCCCGCTCGCGTCCTCCACGCCGCCTGTTCTTTGTTACAGGCAGGAGCCGCCCGCGGCCGCGCGCACTGTGGAAGGGTGAGGCGGGTCCGAGGCAAAACCCGGCGGAGCCGCTCCCGGATCCCCGGCCCGGCCCGACCCAGGCAAGCCGCTGCCTCCCTGCGCGGAGGCAACGGGTTTGCCTGCTGCTGCCCTGGGCTGTCGAGGCTCCCCCCCCCCCCCCCCCCCCCCCCCAATCCCGCGCTAGAACGGGTGGGATAACCTGAGGCACAAAACGAACCGTCCGGCGAGCGGCGGTGGGTATCCCTTGCCAGCCTAGTAAGGGCATGGGGTTTGGCGTGTGCAGGAGGAGGAGGACGGAGCCGCCTCGGATCCTTCCTTTCCTCCTCCTCTCGCCCGGATTTAAGACTCGAATCGTCGGCAAAGCAAAAAGGAAAAAAAGCCAGGCGCTCTCTAGACTGGCTGGGTCGGACACAACGTTCGTCCTTCTCGTAGTGGCCAGAACAGAACCGCACCACATCTGGAATGCAGCGCTTTTACTGCTGCAAAACTCACCTGTTCAGTTCTGCGGCGGCATGTTCCAAAATCCACGAAGGGCTTTTCCTTAGCCGCCGAGACGGGAAGGGACCACCTCTTTGTCCCTTTTATGCAAAAGTTTATTATTCTCAAACTTCATATGAAGGAATTTAACCCAGCGAACGTATCTCATTCTTTTAAGCGCAGTATGCAAAGTAACTCCAAGCACCAATTGCATAGATAAGCAAAACCATGGAAAGAATACTTGAAACCTTAAGCAAAGCACATACTTTTACCATTTTTTCCCCTCTTATGACCACAGAGTAAGAAATGGAATACTGTACTAATCACTAGTGATTGGATAGTTCTTAAGGTGTGGATAATATTAAACATATGCAGACGTCATCTTTTGCATCTCCTCTTCTTCCACAGTAGTAAACATTTCTTCCTCTATAATGGAGTTAGTGATTACAGATTTATCAGGGATATGGAGAAACAGTGTCTGAATGGCATGTTAAGACAGCTTCAGCCTATGGTATTCAGTGGAACATCTACATGTGTACTGTATAGAATTCCACAATTGCCATTAAATATCACTAATTGTGTTTCAAAATCAAAATAATGAAAGATCAGCAGAAGTGTTTCCAAGGGACTGTACTGCTTGGACATTTTATATTACTTGTATTTAGGGCCGTATTTCACTGTTTTCTGAAAAAACTTAATAAATATGCTGCATTACATGTACTTTGGAAGAACCAGAAGAACGACATTTGGGCAGGGACACTTTTAATTACAGTTATATGATGTTTTAGCAAAACATATGTTTTTTTATTGCAGACTGTTATTTTTCAGTTTAACTCTCTGGATTTGCAGTGATATGTTTTCGTCTTAAAATGTATAAAATAATATCCTACATTCTCTAGAATTTTTCCTGTAGTTCATTTTATTTCAGCACTTTATTTCTATCTCATTTCTAAAGTACTAATAATTACTATTCTGTAAATGAACTAAATCAGAACTTAGAACTAAATTTGTTAACTGATTTACTTCCAGGTAAGTGAGTATAGTTTTAATTTTCTTTCTTCCAATCAGTTGCACTGATATATTCCACCTACTGTACTCTTGGTAATGGTTATAAATGGAATGACATTTTTATCACTGAAGCAATACTGTCAAAAGTGTAGTACATTTTTATTCGATATGAATGGGAAACGCAATTTTAGTAACTCTCTTTGGAGCCAGTAGGGGTCAGTTGTGTCACATTCATAAAAGCAACCAAGGCCTCTTTACATTTTAAAGGCATTGTTCAGGCTTAAAATTAAGGCAATCTTAAATACTGGGAGAGAGTACTGTAAGACATGAAGTGGATTTGGGCAGGAATCAATTCAAGTATGAATTCATATGTTAATCTGTCATCACCCACCCACACTTCATCTTATTTTTAATATAAATGAATTAAAAAATCTGTTGATTGGGCAAATAGTTTTATAGTATATGTTTATATTTTAAATCCTGCATTGTTTAGAACTGATGTTAAACAGTTTGTTCAGATGGCCATCTTTTTCCTCAACACTCACTTATGACATAATGATATGACTCTTCTGATTGTGTTTTTATAATTATTAGATTTTCATCTGATTTATCCTGAAGAATAATA